TATCCAACATGACAACCTCAAAACTCGACTTCCCACTTCTATTCTTGCCTCTTTTCCATCAATTCTCCACCTCCCTGACATAGCAAGTATTTGAAAATGCAAATATAATCAGAGCACTCCCCTGCTTAAGACCGCGGATAAAGACCAAACTTCTCCCCATAGCCTACAAGACCTCACCCACTCTCTAACTGCATAGATCTCCTTGTACTGCACCTACACACACACACACACACACACTCTCTCTCTCTCTCTCTCCCTGGTCTCCCACCTCCTCAAAGAGTTCTTCTCACTCCCACCCCAGGGCCTCTGTACTGCCTCTTTCTTCTACCTGGGATGCTCCCCTCACCCGTAGACCAACATCCCTTCACCTACTTATCCTTCATCCCTTAATCCTTACTTATCCTTCACATTCAGCTCAAATATCACTTCCTCAGAGAAGCCTTCCCTGACTGCCAGACTACATAGAATTTTCCTTGACTCCCTGGTGCATGCTGGCTCATTCCTTTCACTTTTTTTATAACCCTTATCCAAGCCCCAACCACAGTTGGCTTGAGTGCACCATTGTCATACACAACCAATCAAGTGGATCAGCCCCTTGAGCAAATTATCTGTGTGTGTGTGTGAGTGTGTGTGTATGAATTAATTCATGCCTATATCTTGCACTTGACTTAAAGATCCAGGAAAGCAGAGACCATATCAACTTTTAAAAACAATTGTATACCCAGAATCTCATACAGTGACTAGCATAAACACTTCTGGTTTGTTACAGTCCCCACTACTCCCTATTGCGTTCCCAACTCTGAGTAAAGTGTTAGTTGCAATTTAAGTTATGTTTATGTTGCTGTTTATCTTAAAGAATTATCCCTTCATACCGCTGCCTCTATCAAAGGGTGGAGAAACAGAATCTAGACCAAGAGGACCAAGAGTTTCCAGGAAAAATGGGAATAGCATATTTCCCATGAAAGTGAATAATGCAGACGGGTGTGGTGGCTCACGCCTGTAATCCCAACACTTTGGGAGGCCGAGGTGGGTGGATCACTTGAGGTCAAGAGTTTGAGACCATCCTGACCAATATGGTGAAACCTCATCTCTACTAAAAATACAAAAATTAGCCAGGCGTGGTGGCGGGTGACTGCAATCCCAGCTACTTGGGAGGCTGAGGCAGGAGAATCTCTTCAACCCGGGAAGCAGAGGTTGCAGTGAGCCAAAATGGCACACTGCATTCCATCCTGGATGACAAGAGCAAGACTATGTCTCAAAAAAAAAAAAGAAGAAAAAGAAAGTGAAGAATATTTATTACGTGCCCAGGCTCACAGGTATTCAAGTGTGAAACTCCTCCTCTAAAATTCTGTATATATTTCTATTATGTTTATTTATTAATTCATCTAAGATTTATTTCTGGACACCGACCTGGCACTGCTCTTTGTACTTGGGATACAGTGAAGGGTAAGACAGATGAAGATCCTGCCTTCATGTTACAAAGCGCCTACATGACAGTGTGTAACGTTTCCTATCACTTACCTATCCTTCCACTAGTCTGAGCTCCTGGTGGTTTCAGCACAGGCTCTGGAGCCAACTGCCTTGGATTCAATTCCAACCGGGTGGTCTTGGGCAAATTACTAAACTTCTCTGCTTTGGTTTTCTCATCTGTGAAATGGGGCTAATAATTGTACCTTCCTTCCATTGTGATAATGAAGATGCAATGAGTTAAGTCGTGGCTGTCTCTTAACAAACCCTCAGTAAATGTTAACTCTTGTCACTCACCTCTGTCTCCTCAGCAGAACTGGCTTCCTGGATGTGTGACCTATGTAGTCACTGAAGGTCCTATGCTTGGAAGGGCTCCATGCTTGGTTTAATGCTCTACTCTTGGTGTCTTGAAATTCTTAATAATTTTTGAACAAGAGACCTTGCATTTTTATTTTGCACTGGGACTTGCAAATTATGTGGCTGGTCCTGACCAGCGCATGTCATGTGTCCAGTAAAATTCTGTTGAAAGAATGAGTAAGTGAATGAATTCAGCCAACCACTGTTGTTGAACTGAGTCTGCCATTGTCATACAGAACCAATCAAGTGGATCAGCCCCTTGAGCAAAATTAAAAGACTTTTGTTGTTAACTCATCCTGCCCATTCCCTGGGACTTAGGAACACTTAAAGCTTGACCTAAGTCTTTGAAGATCTCATCCAGGCCAGGTGCATTGGCTCATGACCATAATCCCAGCACTTTAAGAGGCTGAGGCAGGAGTTTGAAACAAGTCCGCGCCATGTAGTGATACCCATCTCTTAAAAAAAAAAAAAAAAAAATCTTCTCATCCAAACTATCCATTTTCCAGGAAGCTTGGACCTTGACAAACTGCCAGTGTTCCTGATGGAGCCAGCAGAGGACCCAATCCAATTCCCCATTCTCCAGAACCGCAGTCTGCACCGTTCACACTACACCCCTCTTTTTCTTCCAGCTCATCATTCCTGGGACAAAGGCATACCTGGTTTCTTTCATCCCCATTTTACAGATGGAGAAATAAAGGCTCGGACACAATAAGGTCCATCAACATTTTCCATGCAGCCCAGTCCCTCTGCCTAGTTAAGTTTGTAGTTCTGCAAAGAGTTTCTAACTAGAGCCCCAGAATTCAAACCACTCAAATCATTTTTGGAGTGACTAGTCATATGTGATCATTATATGCTAAATCCCCCTAACCCCAACAGCATTCTGAGACCCTGGCCTGCAAGGACAAGCAAAGGTAAACTCATCTCCCTGCAGGCCCTGAGTGCTGAGTCCTTTCATTCTTTCAACGTCTATTGAGAGTCTGCAGCATGCAGGCACCGTGTGAAGCTGAGATGCAACCAGGAAAACAACAGACAAAAGGCCCTGCCTTTCTAAGGGAAAGTAAAATAAATAAATACAATGTGTATGGTCTGCTGATGGTGCTATACACTATGCAGAAAAATTAAGCAGGGAGGGACAGAGGATGTGAATACTTTGAGGTGGGAGAGGAATGGAGATTTCAACAGGGAGGAGAGTAGAGATTTCAATGGTAAATAGGATTGTAAGGGAAAGCTTCAAAGAGAAAACGACACATAAGCAAAGACCCTAAGAAGGTGAGGAAACAGCTTCCTGCAGCTGTGCAGAGGAAGAGCATTCCAGGCAAAGGGAATGGCCAGTGCAAAAGCCGGGAAGCCTTATCCATCATTCACAATGCAGAGGGCATCTCTGAAGAGACTAGGAGGGCTTTGCCAGATCCCATACATTTCCCCCCACCCCTGGCTAGCCCCAGCTTCTCATCTCAGTCTAACCGCCTGAGACCAATCCAATCTATAGGTTTTTGAACAATTATTTATTGAGCTTCTACAATGGCCAGCCACTGCTTTATTCATCATTGCAGCAGTGTTCTTGTTTTCTTTGTGTTTGCAGTAGTCATATTTAATCGAGAGAGGTCACAATAAAATTTCAGCATCTAATGGGGTCTGAAATCTCAGCCCTGGCCTCACTGGGCTGGGTCCATGTGACTCTGTAATCTGCCCTTTTGTGGGGCCACGTGCCTCCTTGCTTACTACAGACCCAGCTAGATCCAGTAGATGCCCCCCTTATGCAGACTGTCTGGCTCTGTATGCTTTGAGATTTCCACTCTGCCCTAGAGTGTCCTCCATCCTTGCCTAGGGTAACCCCTAACAAAGACAAGAACTAGATACATGCTCTTTGCTAGTCTTGAGGGCCAGGGGTCCGCTCCACGTTGGGAGACCTGGAAGAGGCTGGGGAAAGCTCAGCCAGTTACTTCTCTCCAGGAATGGATGTGATAGAGGGGTGAGGGGCGTTGGGAAGCAGTGGGGGCGGGGTCTTAGGCTTCTCAGACCCATCACAGCTCTTTGCACAGGCAGCTGCTACAGTCTGCTCCTGGGGATGCCTGGCCTGGGTACTCCTGCAGAATCTTTAACTCTCTCACACTCACTGTCTTGAGCCCCAGACAGATATCTCTCTCTCTCTCTCTCTCTCTCTCTCTCTCTCTCTCTCCCCCCACCCCTCCTAAAGTCTGTGGTGGCCACACCGGGAACCCTCCACCTGCCTGCCCTGAGGAGAAAGGACCACCCACCCACACATTGCTTGGATCCCACCTGCTGTACCAATGCTACCCTTCACACAACCTTCAAGCACTCTAGACAAGCCCCCATGTCTCCCACGTGCGTTTGTGCAAGTTTGGAGTGCCCTGTGAGTGTGGTCTTGTGCACAGTGATGAGGATGCCTGCGCGTTTTCAAGGATCTGGGTGTGGGATGGGAGGGCATCCGCGTGCATGAGTGAGAGTGTGAGTACACCGCATGCCTGGGTATTGTGTGTCTTTGTGTGAGCGTGGGCGAGTGCGTGTTTGAGTGGCTGCAACATCCTTATCCCTGACTGAAGGGCGGCATGCAGGAGGGGCTTCTCTTAGCCAGTCTGTATCCTCTTCAAACGCACTCCAGTTAGGGGACAGTCCACCGGCGGCCACCCCCAGTGTCGCCACACACACGCACAGGGATGCACGCACCCCTCTTTCCAGAGCCAGCAAGCTCAGCTCCACTGGTCCAGGAAAACCGTCAACCTTTTAGCATCCTCGCTGCTCCAACAGCCCCACCCCTTCCCCCGTTCTTTGCCCTAGGTGTAGAATCCTCTCTCTGGAGATGGACTGGAAGCATTGGCAAGGGGCAAGAGAGGTGGCTGCGAGGAGAGTGGAGAAAGGCAAACTGAGGACACGCTGGAGGAGTGAAGAGCCGCTGCGGGAGAGGCAGATCCCACCCACACCACGCCCCTCCCTCGGGGTTGGAGATGGGGGTAGCCTGTTTTCCACCCCGGTCTTCCTTCGGGGTTCCCAGGTCTAACTGCATCTTCTCCCCTGAAACTGGAGCCAAGCGAGCCTCGGCTGGACCCCCTCCTCTCCCGCATCCCTCCCACCCCACACAGACTCCGCGTCCAGGCAGCCGCTGATTGGCTGCGGGGAGCGGCGTCCCAGCCCCCCGGCTTTGAGGCGGGAGTGGAGCGGGTCCGAGGTGGGAGGTGCACAGACGGGCTCCGGGAGCCCCTCCCGAGGCTCCGCGCCGCGCGCCCCGCACCCTGCGCCCCGCGCCCTGCGGGAGGGCTGAGCCGGGACTCCAGGCGGGCAGGTGCGGAGCGAGGAGAGGGGATCACGGCCAAGGGTAGGAGCCAGTCCTGCGGTGAGAGAGGCGCTGCTGCTCCAGCTGCTGCCTCCGCCGCCGCCGCCACTGAGCCGGCGACCAGAGTCGGGCTGGCAGGCCGGGCGCGAAGCGGCGAGAGGAGCGAGGGGCGCGCTCATGGAGCACACGCACGCCCACCTCGCAGCCAACAGCTCGCTGTCTTGGTGGTCCCCCGGCTCGGCCTGCGGCTTGGGCTTCGTGCCCGTGGTCTACTACAGCCTCTTGCTGTGCCTCGGTTTACCAGGTGAGGGGCGTGGGGGAGAGGGAGGGAAGTCAGGAACCCCCAGTGCCGGGTAACCCTGCCCAGAATCCCCCGTCCTCCCCCGTGCGTTCCCTGGCACCCACTCGGAAAAAGTTTAAGCTTTAAGGTCAACTGCGGAGATTTCCACATGGGGGGAGGAAGTTGCTGTGCCCTGGCTGGGGACCGTGTGTTTGTGTGTGTGTGTGTGTGTGTGTGTGTGTTTCATGACTGTGACGGCGGGCGATGAGCTTGGCGTGTGAGCGCAGATTCGAAGGTGCATTTGTGCGCGCGTCTGGAGGGGGCGGCTTTCATGGGGTCGGGGCGTAGAGGGCTGTGTATGTGTTTGGCTTAACTGTATGTTCTGGACAGAAGGCTTCGCGGAGGCTTCCCTTCTCCCGTGGCCCCGGCACGTCCACCCCACTTGGGGCACCTCTGCCTCTCTGCCTGACACGAAATGAAGCTGGAGACCCTGACACTGAGCACTCTCTTGCTCGGGGAGGTGGGGGGGCACTGGGATGGAGAAAGGATGCCTAGCAAGAAAAGGGTCTCCCAGCTGGCTAAGGAGAATCAGGGGTTGGCTCTGGGACCGTGCCCTGGCCAGGGCAAGGGTGCAGAGACACACAGGGCAGCCTGCGGTGACTGCCACCTCAGGGGGTCACAGTCTCCTTGAGGACATGGCTGGCCCCCTGGCTTGGCCTCCAGGTTTACCCACCCTGGGCAGCTCACGCTGCTGCGGATGTCTGGCTGGTCTCACATCTTAATGTCCTTTTCAAAGTGTGGCTGAGACTTGTGCTGAATTCCTGAAGAGAGCTGAGCTGCCGAGAAGGAGGGAGTGCTTGCCTGGGCTGTGTGCAAGAGAGAGGAAGAGAGAGAGACAGGTTTTTTCCTGGGGCTCCAGCTTGGGGTGGACCCTCCTCACAGGCAGTCTTGGTGGCAGATAGATTCCGAAAGATTACTTGCCTGCAGAGAGGAGAGAGGGACTGAGAGAAGCGGAGATAAAGAGAGGAAAAAAATCCAGTGTACACCCTAAAATCTTAGCATCATCTCGCTAGTCATCTCTTAGTCTGCGAACCTTAGCATCTTGCTATCCTGGGAACTTGGGAGCTGGATTTCTGAGAGCCTGGCTGAGATTTCCTTTCCAAAACATTCAACTTGGCAGTCAGGGCCCCTGATGAGATTGCTTCAATAAATCCCCCCTCTCAAATTTGGCAGGCATGAGAAAGCGCAAGTTTACTAATGTGTGAGCCTCTCTCCCCCAGTCCGTGATGAGGCTTCTATTTCTAACTAATCGCCCCGACTGCCCTAGGAGAGCAGCTCAGCCTCTGATTTGCCCTGCCGGGGTGGTAGCACATGTCCTGTAATTACCTTGAGCTGGGATTGATTTCAGTCCAGGTTCTACCTCCCCTCTTCAGCCCTTTGGAGCTTCTCTCTCCAGAGCACTGCTTTGGGAAATGAGTTTTTGAGAAGGTTGGTTATTTGGTGATGCTTGCTGAACCGGAAAAGTGTCAGAACCTCTTTCCCCCTCAGTATTCCCATCAGAATGCCCCCCACCCCACAATCCACCCACCCTTGCACCTCCTCTACCGAGTGAGGTAGCCACTCACTCACTATCCCAGGCTTTTCTAATGAAACCATTTAAGGGACAGAGACAAAGACAAGCAGAGGTTGACCCTTCAAGAGTTCAAAGCAGGGACAAGAGGATGAAGAAAATGAGGAAAAGCTTAGACCTTCAAAGACCTCAAGGTGGAAGCCAAGGTACCTCACACCTTCACGTCCCAACTCCTATGCCAGTTAGGGCCTTCCTAACACACAGCATTGACATCTACCGTATGCCAGGCACTGTGCTAGCCACAGGCTTAGCCCAGAGCTTGAGAACTTAAAAGCATGAAGCTAGGGTTAGGATTTGGCTGTTGTTGACGTCTTCATATCCTCGACTAATAGTTTTGGCCACTGTGGTATGCCAAGTATTAACTGGGTGTCAAAAGGACTCAAAGACTCCTAGGATGCAGTCTCTGAGTTCCAGGAGCTCCCAGATGGAAGTGCATGATTCCGGAGGCAGAAGGACCTAGCAACCTAGAGAAGAATGGTTGGGGAGGCCAGGCTTATCCAAAAGTCTTGGTCTGTTAGCAAGTTTCCTTAACAGCCCACAAGGCTGGTTCAAAGGTGAATTCTTTAAGTCATTCTCTTAAAACCATAAGGGGAGACAAGTATGTCCTGGCAATGAAGAGTGAGTGTTAATCCGGGTTCTGCTGGGGTTAGGTTGCAGGCTTTTCATGTCTCTGTGCCTCAGTTTCCACAACTATAAAATGGGAATCATGAGAATAGCTATCCCCTGGAGTGGTGCTGAGAAGTAAGGATGTTGCTGGAGATGATGGCACAAGTGAAACGCTCGCCTTGGTGCCTGACATTCATTGATTGACACTGCACTGCTGCAGTCATAGTTATTATGAAGCCGATCAAGTCATAAGGAGGGGGGTCTGCTTGATCAGCCCCACCAGTGACCAGAGGAGGGACTGAGATACACAGAGTAAAGCATTCAGGTCAGCATGTAACTCCACGTGTTGAGCTCGCCACAGTGGTCCCCACCCATCACCTCCCCTCCCCAGCCACCAGCAATTAGCAAACTCTCATTACTCCACCACTGACTGGGAGACGCAGCTTTGCTGGGTGTGGAGTAACAGACCGCAGGCCTTGCTCACATTGTTGGAAACTGAGATTTTAAATGAATCACTATTCCTGGCAGTGGACTCACCCCAAGTTTCCCAAATTCTCGCAGTAGTGGTTGGAGACGTGGGTGGGAACTGAGGGATGGATGGGGAGCGCCTGAATGTTTAGCAACAGCAGAGCTAGTATCACAGGAACGTGGTGGATGTCTCTGACTACCTTCAGTCTCTAGGTTGGGAGGAAGAGCTAGGGGATTGCCCCAGACAGTCTAATTTTTAACTGGTTGGTGTAGGATCGAAGGAATTCTAATGCAAAATATGGGTACAGCTTTACCACTTAAGAACTCTCCACCTCTCTCCACCATAATTTTCCCCATCTGCAAAATGGGGCTAACAGCAGTACCTGTTACCCACACAGGTGGTATATATTAAATAAGATCATCTACGTAAAAATGGCTTAGCACAGTGCCTTGTCTGAGAAAAGCACTTATTCCTCACTCAGTGACTTCTCCATACCGGATCTCTGTCACCTATATTATTGCACTTAATCCCTGCCACACCTCTGCGACCCATGCCTGTCTTCGAACTCATTTTACAATGAACAAACTGAGACTCAGAAAAACGGAGCGTCTTATCTATGGTTGCACTGTCAGGTCGGCATGCAAACATACTGCCTTATTAAACAGTGCAATAAAGCAAGCAGTGCAATTTCATTGTATGGCTTTGCCTTCATTACTGCCAGGCAGTTGTTTGAACTAACCTCGGTCCCTCATTTCTGTGCTCCGTGGAGAAAATCGGTGTCCCACCTGTTCCTAAAACTCCACCTCTTTCCCTCTTTCCTCCTCCTTTTTAAGTAAGCAAGATGTTTCTCACTTCTTGAGACACACAAAATAAGTCAGCAGAGCCTAAAAGGAAGGATTGGGACACTCATTGGGCCAACTGGAATGAGACAGTGCAAAAGAGACAGCAATGCAGGAGAAAATGATGAACTTGAGCCCCTGGGGGAAGAGAGTGAGAGGGAGGATAGGTGAACCAGCTTGATAAGGAAGGAGCAGAGTGAAATTAAACTGAGACTCGAGAGATTTTTTAAAAATTACCTTCTAAAGAGGGCCATGGATGTGCAGAAAGACAAAGTGATGAAAGAGATGATGGTTTGAAACTGAATGCTGCCCAGCAGAAGGATGCATTTCCGCCACTGCCAAGTGAGGATGATAACATCTGTAACATATGCCTTTGAGGGTTGGTGCAAGATGAAGGCAGATGATGAGTCTGTAGCCTGGCAGATAGTAAATAAGCCTGACGCATGGTAGTTACCATTGTTGTTCACTAGAAGTAGAAAACTGGTGACCTGTCAGCTGGACTGAGGCCTGCAGATATGTTTTTTTTTACCATGTAAACATTTTTAATGAGAGAAAATGGAATAAACAGGTTAAAGGGACACACTCTGGAGCTGAACCTCTGGGGTCTGAGTCCTGGCTGTGCTGCTTACAAGTTATGTGACCTTGGGCTAGTGACTTTAACCAGTTTGTGCCTCAGTTTCTCTGTTTAAACTGGGGGTGATTATAATAATAGTCTACACTTCATAGGGTTGCTGTGAAGATTAAACGGGCTGAGCACTGAGCGCAATGCCTGGAATATGGTAAGTACTCTATAAGTTATCTTTTCATCATTTAAAAATTAGGAAAAAGTGCCAACTCACTTTGTGACACCAGCTTTATCAAAACCGGACAAAGACATTACAAAAAAAGAAAACTACAACCAAATGTTCCTCATGAACATAGACACAAAAATCATCAACAACATATTAGCAATTTGAATCCAGCAATATATAAGAGGAATAACAAATCAGAATCAACTTGAGTTTATCCCAGGAATACAACACTGGCTCGACATGTGAAAATCACTCAGTATAACTAATCATATTAACAAACTAAAAAAAAATTTAAAGCCATATGATCCATCTCAATAAATGCAGAAAAAGCATTTGACAAAATTTAACATCCATTTGTGATAAAAACTCATCAAACTAGGAAGAGAAAAACAACCTATTTAACTTGATAAAGGGCATCTATAAATAATTTACATGTTACAACACATTTAAAGATAAAAAAAACTGAATGCTTTTTCCCTAAGATCTAGAACAAGGCAAGGATGACTGCTCTCACCACTACTATTAAACATCATACTGGAAGAAGTCCTAGCCAGTGCAATAAGGCAAGAAAAAGAAATAAAATTTATACAGAAAGAAAGGAATTAACTACTTCTGGTTCACAGATGATACAATGGCCTTCCTAGAAAATCACAAAGACTCCACACCAAAAAAACTCCTAAGAACTAATA